TAGTGGTTTGCCTCCGGGACATCTGTTTAATATTGCGGACCACTGCTGTGGTCTTTTTGATATTACAAAATGTTCATACCTGAACAGATTCTGTCAAATATCTTGGTGTTATGTTTGACAGTGGACTAGTGTTTTCCTCTCACATCAAATCTCTGTGGACGAGTAAGGAAGTTTATTTTTATATTTAAGAAATTACGCCATGTAGCTGATACAAATGTTCTCAGGGGAGTCTATTTTGCATTGTGTCAATCTATACTAATATATGGGATAGGGGTTTGGGGTTGAGCTGCCAAAACACTTCTTATTGAACTGGAAAGGGCGCAAAGAGCTGTGTTAAAAGTTATCTACTTTAAGCCCTTTCTATATCCTACAACTTTTTATCCATCATACTGTGATTAGACAGCATGGTATCTCGGAACTATTGTATCTTCATAAACATCCTCGTCGAAATCGACATTATCGCATTGTTCAGGCAGTGGGTTGTAAAACAGTCTTTGCAGAGAGATTCTTCGGGTTTTTGGGTCCGTTTCTATACAATAAACTCCACAATAGACTTTCCCTCAATAATAACGTCTGTTAAATTAACATTGTTTAACATATGGATAGTGAAAATAAACCTTATAAATAAACAAGGGGGGACCTGGTGACCTGTAATACGGGGTTGAACCTAAACAGGCACCAGTCTCCCACAAATAACGTGTCAATAATTAATTAATAAATGTACATCTTTTTGTAAAGTTGTTTGTGGTGTTTTTTTTTTTAAATAAATAAACAGATCTAAAAGACTCAAAAGCAAATTTGAGGAGTTTTTCGAAATAATTCATGCATCCCAAACTGCCTTGTGTAAATTGTGCCAACATAAAAAAATTTAAATAAAAATGAAAAACAGAAACACTTCAGGCTTAAGTAAACATCTAATATCTTTCCACAAAAAGGAATCACAAATATTTCTTCCTGTTAAACCAAAATTAAGTGGAGATATCGCAAGCTTTTTCGTGACTGCTGGAAGAAGTGGACAGGTAAGAATAAATTTACTTATCTCACAATTACATAACACATATTAAGTATGTAATTATCGTGTTAAATATTTTTTATAAAACACCCATATTTTCATTTGTGTTCATAATCGGCCTGTAACAACTAAGTACTTTATTTTGGTAAATTACAGTACAGTGTCTCTATATTCTCTCAATACCTTAATATAACAAACCTAAATTTAACGATTTTCTCGATTTAATAACAACAAACCTCCTCCTCCTAAATGCTTAAACCTAGTATGTTTTAAATAATAACACAAGATTTATTGTTTTATTTCAGTCGAAAAACAGTAGTGACAACATCACGATAGGTACAGTTGATTGGGTGGTGGAAAAATATCTTCCCTTCTCATTTTTCGATGACGAAGCTACACAAGTATATTTTCGACGTATTTGTCCGAATATGGTGTTTCTGTAAGGTCCACACTTAGGAGGAAAGTCAAAGAGCGATTTAAAGAGCTCCAATCGAATCTCAAGGAACGACTTCAACAATTATCATCTAAAATGTCGTTTACCATTGATGGGTGGACGTCAATTGCTGGTAGGAGTTACTACGGGGTTACTGTGCATTATATAGACAACGAATGGAAGTATCGATCTGTAGTTCTTGATTTTGACATACTGGGGAAGATATTGCAACGATTTTCCACGAATGTTTATTGGAATATGACATAATTGATAAAATACAAGGTATCACAGTCGACAACGCAACTGCAAATACCAAATTAATGTATGAACTAGGCAAACAGCTGCCACTACACTTTGATTCAGTCAAATCAACATTTCCGGTGCTTTGCTCACATTTTAAACCTTGGTGTACAAGATTTATTAAAGACCTTAGCATTACACTGTGAGACTGACACTAACGCGCAAGATCAGCAGTATGAAGACTATGCAGACGAAACTGAGGAAGATGAAGAAGATGAAGAATATGCACCAAATATTGCTGACTCGCGTACATCTGTAACAAAGTTACCCAGTATTTCCAGTAAAATAAAAAGAAGTGAAATAGTGAAGAAGAAGTTTCAGTCTGCTTGTGAAGCAGCTGGCGTGCCATTAAATATGAATCCCATTCTTGACTGTCCAACGAGATGGAATTCCACTCATGATATGATTGGATTTGGTTTAAAAGTGAGAGTGGGCATTAACATATTGTGCAGTTCTGTCACCGAATTGAATGATTTTCAAATCACAGCTAGTGAATGGCAAATAAACTTTAAACTTTTAAGTACAAAACTTGGTGGAGAAAAATATGTTACATTACCGCTAGTCATTGTATCATTCAATCTCTTGCTCGATAAAATTAAATCCATGGTAAAACAGTTAGATGAGAAACCTTATCGATCTGAAATGGATGAAAGGCTCATTCTGGCTTTCCAAGCAGCTGGAGACAAAATACTTAAACATTATAAGAAGTGCAACTGGATTTATTGTACTTCTTTAATTTTAGACCCAAGGCATAAGGCTCAGACTTTTGACCTGACAATATGGGGGAAGCAACTTAAAACAGAAAGCCTGCGCAAGTTCAATGAACTTTATGAAGAACACTACAGTCTACACTCACTGAACAAATCTCTGGAATTACCAAGAAAAGAAAATAAGGTATGTGATGAAGATGAAGACGTAGTAGACTTTGATAAACTGTATGAATGTCTCTCGACGTCATCTGGATCTTGTCTTCAAAGCTTAGTGATAGACGAGTTGGAGGAGTACCTGAGAAAACCAAGAGCTGCCAGCTCGGAAGACATTTTGGATTGGTGGAGGACGCATGAGACAGAGTATCCGACTTTATCGAAAATGACCCGTGATTTTCTCTCAATACCTGCAACTTCAGTACCTGCTGAGAGATTATTTTCTAAAGCATCATTAGTAATTAGAAAACATAGAAATAGGTTAAGTGATGAGTCAGCCAGATGGTTACTTTGTATTAATTCTTGGTCAAAAGAATTGATATAAAGTAACAGAACCTAATGACAAAGCTGTTGTGTACTGTTGTGTTATTTGATTTGTGTTGTATTTTATTTTTTATTGAAATAAATGATAAATCGTAAAACTCCTTTATTAAATTTCATGTAAGTTGAGAGTTCAATCTCTTTCTAGAGAGATTCTTTAAAATACAGTCAATTTATTGTAAATAATTTGATTTTTTACATGTTTTAGCACATGTAAGCTTATAAAGCGTAAATGTTTATTAAAAAACAGTTACTCCCATGGAAAACGGCATATAGCTCAGTTGATAACCATGTGGCAGTTATCGAATTTTTTATCAAATCTTCAGACATTTATTAATCTGATTGTTCTTTACTATGGCTATGTAAATTCCTAAGATTTAAAGTAAACTTTAATAAATAGCAATAGTCTAGACTCTTGCTGCAAGACCAAGACCAAGACTGGGAGCGCAAGACCAAGACTGGGAGCGCAAGACCAAGACCAGGTGTATTGGCGCAATACCAAGACCAAGACTGGCCAAGTCTCGTCTTGTTCTTGCATTTGGGCAACACTAGTAACAACTGACTAACCAATAATCTATATTTAGGGATTCAGTCCCTTTACCTATGTTGCTATTCTCTGCTCAAATATTGCACTAATAGTATGATTATTATTTAATGAAACAACTTTTAAGCGATGTCATTGCGTTTGTATTTAGTTTTGTTGACGTTTCGGACCCTTTAGGGGAAAGGAGACAAGATGGAAGAAGTAAACAAAATAGAAACTTCTTAAATTAGCCAAAATATGTAATCCATCGCGGGTGTTCCTACACACAGAAAAACGCCTAGCTGAGTGTTATTTATATAAAATAAATAAAATGTACAATCTATGTGTTTATTTCATAGGAAAATATTTATCTGCTTTAATTGCTTAAGATAAGTAAGAAATAAGATTATCTTGCTTTGAGAGTAAATATATACTACAAATCGAGTGCACAGATTGAAATAATAACCAAATCAAAATAATCGTAGAGTTATAGATACGTTAATATTATTATATGTAATACCAGCGTACGGACAAAATGGAAATTTAAAATTTGAGGCATAAAGGAAGGAGTATAAAAAATGAAAGTTACTGTACAGTACTAAGTACTGTACAAACAAACAGACAAGGAAGAGGAGAACAGAAAATAACAGAGAAAGGTAAATAAATAATTATTTTACAGTTTCCGGAAGAAATTACGAAAAATCAGTTATAGAAGACTGCTTCGTATTATAAATAAGTACGTAAGCTAGAAAATGGTTCTATTTTAAGTATTAATTATATAACTTAAATTTATGTTGTGAATTCCAAATTGCCTTTAACCTTTGTTATAACATGAAAATGGAATTTCTCAGAGTTTAAGTTTTCGAGTTATAACTAATTTTTTCCTACAATATAGTTATTGTTAATTAGAAATTTGTTTTCATTATTTAAAAACCTTTCACGAACAATTTAAATAAGAGACTTAAACAAAGTACATTTCTATTTTTTACTACACATTTACTACTTACTACATAAAGTTAGCCCTTCCATCTTGCCTCCTTTCTCCTACAGGTTCCGTGTTCACTTATGACTAAAGAATTGATTGTATTTGTTGAAAAGACAATTAACACCTTAGTCATAAATGAACACGAAACCTGTAAAGGCTCCGAAACGTCGATAAAACTAAATATAAACGCGATGAAACCCTTTAAAAATGTTTTCATTAATGGATAGTGAAAATATAAGAAATCAATGAATTATTATTTCCGATAGAAAGTAAGTTTCTTAATTTAAATAAAAAAAGGGAACTCTTTCCCTCATGGAAATGGTGTATTAGTACGTTCTGCCTAGCATTGTGGAGACGCGGTCATCAGATAGGTAACCAAGAATTGATTGCGATTGTTATAACCGACTAAACCGAACTGAGGACTGGATATATTTTGGCCCTTTTTGCCATGTGATTTTATCCATTAGTTGTTAATAATAAGAAAATCATTTACTATTAAACATTTATTTCCAAACTATATCTTCAATCCAATCAAGGTATCTGGAGACTCTTGTATAGACACCGGGCAGATTTGGTAGCGCGCAGCCGACTCCGAATGACGTCACTCCGATCACTTGATGCATCCGTCTACATGATTGATAGAACTCGCAACTATGGAAGAAATTAATTATAAAATAAACATAGGTAAAAAATAGTTCGAAACAGAAGAAGATAAGCCTTGTCAATAATTAAATTCATAAAAGAGGACTCTTACTTGTCATTTCTTTGTGGCAGAAACATTTGAACTTGCAAAGGTCCACCGGAATCACCCTGGAAAAAATCGAAGTATAAATGTTACTATTATGACAATCTCAATGATAATCAAATTGCAGACGGTAATTCTAGTTGATAACACCTCCCGATCCTATTACAATTGGTCATCACTATGAGTACTACTTATACTTATGGTACTACTTTCTTTTTGCGTGATATAATCATGAAAAAATATTAGATTAATCAGCGAGAAAATATTAGACTGATCAAGCGCAATAATAATAATTTATTTTCTCTACAAACTTTTTGACTTAAACAATGTGTTTTGTATAATCATAAACATACTTTGTAGGAGACTTACATCCAGAGTAGACGATAAATTGCTTAAGCTTCTAATACAACAATACAATACAATTTTTTAATTTATTTGTATTTTATTTGTATATTTAAAGCAATTTTGTAAATTATTTGTTTAGTTGTAATTTAGTTGTTGTAAATGTGACTGTGTGTGTGTTTGTGCGTGTGTGTGTGTGTTGTGTGTCTACTATCAAAGTTTAATTATATTAGAAAAAACTATAGCTGGAAGTAACCTGGCAAGCGTCCACCCCTCCTGCTAATACTCCAGCACACATCTGGTGATCTTGTAGACCGCACCAGTGCCTGTTGCATGACGGCTTTAACAAGTCGTCGCATAGTTTTGTATCTAATATATCTAGCACTATTACTTGTAGTTCCGGAGACGTGGTACGATTAACTGATGAAGACATAGTAAAATAAGTAGGTACTCTTCTAACTATTTCTTAGATATTAGATGAAGGTTTGATACTAAAGTTAAAGAGATATACCAGTTTCCACCACTCCCCATCCAGTCATAGAGGCTTTTTGACCAACCCGTCCAATTTCAGCGCCGCTATGAAGGCATGCCGGTTGAATAAATTTGGTAAAAAGAACTTCCTCCTGTAATTCTATAATGGCTATGTCGTTATATTTCTTTGGGGGCTTATAATCAGGATGATTAAAGATTCTCAATATTTTGGCATCCACGTGTGTTAAATCATACCCAACTAACTCTTTCTCCTAAAAAAAAACATATTTATTAATATTTGAACCCAGCCACGTTTGGTAGGGATCTGTATAAGATTCGATACACACCACATTTTAAAAATTATTCTATTCTTTGTTATTCATCGACTCAAATAACTAGATAACGAGATTTTCAGTACCCCAGCGTAAGAAAAGAGTGTGCCACAGGGTAGCGTTCTAGGACCACTGTTGTTCTTAATGTACCTATATATAAAATCTATATATAAATAACCTTCCAGATGTCTGTGAGCAACAATGTCATTTGTATACAGATGATACAATACCTTTTTTAAACGAAAAGAGTAAGGAGGCACAAGAATACACAGTCATAACCAGTTTAACAAAAATGGATATATGTATTAAATTTAATAATTCGAATTAACGGCTTACCATGGATATGTCAGTTCTAAATTGCGTTATAGCATAATTGTATGGGGAAATTCGGTAGACTTAGTGAGAGCCTTTAAATTACAAAAAAAAATGCATCAGAGCCATTTCTGGTGTAGGATATCTTGACAATTATTTAAAGTATATTGCCCCTTCCAAGTATGTACATTTACGAAATGTGTATTTTTGTATATAAACATTGTAACTTATTTAATATAAATAACGACTTTGATCGTAGAGGAAGAAAACGAGACAAATTGTATATACCGTATATGCAAGCAACTTTTACAGCATATGTATTTTCATTAAATTATCGACAGACATAACAAAGTTACAATTTAATAAATTTAAGAAAGTAGTATTTAATTTATTATTGTAAAAAATGTACAAAGGTTTAACAAGCGACATATCAAGTCAGTGTATCGCCGTAATTTATTGATTTCGAAAAAAAATTAAAACTACATGTTTAATTTTTCAATGATTTAAAAAGACCGTACGAGCTAGAATCCCTTTGTCTTTAACTTTGGCTATTAATAGCACAAAAAATATTAGAAGTTCTATTTGTTTCCCAAACATTCAGATTTACAGACTTACCAAAATGAGATAAGATTTAGACATCATGAACATCACCGACTTCTACGAAATGTACAATTTAATTTAACTAATTTAATCACTTGACATTTACAGAATTGTGTGTAACGCACAAATAAGCCATTAATAAAAGAAGTATTTACCAAAATGTTTTTGTCTGCCAACCTCACAATTTTAGGATCGACATCGGCAATAGTGGTGTCCCTGTCTGAGGCCTTAGAACAGTGTCCCGCCGTCAGCACAAACTTATTACTGATGAGAGAACCACCGCATTTGAATAACCATGAACCCAAAACTGATTTCCAACCGATAGCACCCTGGAATTCGAAAAATAATCAAACAGAATTAAATAACATGAAAATTATTGTTTTCATATAAATCTGTTGCAGCTGAACTTATCAGCGACCACATCTCACAATGCCACCAACTATGAAATTATATTTAGTTTTCTTTCATTACATCTTATTTGCATAACACATGGGCCTAACAAGGATGAGTACTAAGAGTAGTTATAGCCAGGTCTCTCTATTTGATTCCATCCAAGCCTATGCCTTCGCAGTGGGGATATAAATAGGCTGATGTTAAGGTACTCAACTTTTGCAATACGTTTCTTTAACTAGTGGGCACTCAATTTTATTAGTTTTAAAGGAATCTCACAGATGTTGGCTGCAATGGCAACCACTTATCAATAAAAATTATTGAAATAGTCGTGGTACTATCTGTTACTAATATCGGTCTTTGGTTACCTGCATTTGGAAATGGAATGTGTTATAATTCATTCATAATCGTTTATAATATATTACAAGAAGAGCTCCTGCCTGCACACATTGGAATGAGTTGCCTCTTCATCAAACAGCTGCAGATTTTTTGGATATAATTTCTTACCATATGTGGAAATTCTCCAGGCAGTGTCGGACGTCCGCCAATAGCAGCGAACACAGTTATATTTGTTTTCCTCTGAGTATATTCAGAACCTGAAAATTATACTAAATGAGAAACAGTAAAAAGTATTTAGAAACCGTTGCCATTTAACACAAGTTCTTATTTTTAATGGGTTTTTAAAAATGAAATATTAAATATCTCTTACTTTGAAAATTTATTTGCAGGTTTTAAAAACAAGATTGTATCAAACTAGTCGATCTATCATTATATAAACAAACATAAAACGAAATGTCAATATATCAAACAAATTTATACAACAAATAAGTTCTATTTTTTTTATATTATAATTAATGAAATATCGTTTAAATAAATATTAAAGTAAAATAATAATAGGACTTACATTTTCGTCTTCTTATATCTTCGTCTTCTCTCGCTTTTATATCCCAAATATATTCCAAACATTCTGGAGATGAAAATACCTTAATGATTTCACGGGTATTTTTGAGTTTAAATTAATGCTACATTTATGTTTGCCTATCGATAGTTTGACTACTTTTAAAGGCCGTCTATTGATACTGAAACAAATTACAACAACACTCTCGACAACAAAGACACTCACTCACGTGGCTGATCCTTCGGCCCGGTGCACTAAAATCAGGCACTTTCGGTGGTTGTATTTCGCACGGATTATATTCTGTGTTATTCAGGTTATCTGAAATTCTTTCCTAAAATAAATGTTTAATAAAATGTTACTTTACTTATTTCACGACATTATCAGTAAACAGAATGTTGACAAAGATAGTTTGGATATGCCTGCGCGGTCTGCGTAATTTTTGGAATTATCCTTGTCTATTGAAGAAATTAAAGTTAAGTACTACAATTTTGTTTAACAATGTTTTACTATACTACACTACGCCATCGACTTAAATTTTTAACCTTTTTCTCGACCTACAGTGAAGGAGGCTGGTTATATCTTTAATAAATATAGACTAAGATCTTTTTACTTTATACATTACTAGTGAAACAGCAGGTACTCTATATAATCCCTAGGAATTATTCAAATTACGTAGGGAAAGTATGTAATTATAATATTTCGTACATTCACTGAACATATTCAGACGCATAATATATAAAAACCGTGCTTCTTAAATTTATATTTTTAAATTAAATTTATCTGGGCTCCTCTGTTAGTTCAAAATATCAATATTAGGGATTGTATTTGAAATCATTGCAATCGCAATGAAATCACATAAAATCAAACGTGGAGCTCTGGCAAGAAGATATAGAAAAATAGCCGAAAAATGTGTATTTATACATAAAGTTAATTACCTGTGTTAAGCCTGCATTGTTATCAGTAAAATATCCCCAACTCCATCGTTCATCCTCTTCCTTTAAATAAATACAACACATTTAGAATCACATATCTAGACACCATCTGAAATATATAGCTTAAGGTACGATCAGTGAATCACGACCGAAACGCTACGTAATAAAGCCAATTTCTTCGCGGTACAAAACGTAGTCCCGTTAGTTAATCACCTATGACTAACCAAAGGGACTCTACCTCACGTTAATATAACCTAGATAGTACGAGTGACAGTGATTTACATTATAATAGGGAATAGGAAATTTAAATATTTTTACCACGAAAGACTCTCGCAGCACGTCATTTGCTTTTTCCGTCGCCTAATCCTTACCTGTCGCTCAGAACTGAAGAAAGAAGCCTATCGCCTCGAGGAAGCCTCGTAATGTTATTGCACATCCACTATAACTACCAGATGAAGCTTAACCCTTAAACTGAATTTACATTACGAAATCGGTTATGCATGATGAAATTAGTTTCACAAAATAACATTTCGTGATAGCATGAAATCTACACTATTTCTGAGACATTGACTCCGTCAACATTGAAGCTTTATTATACGCAAGCGATACTAGTTTCGCCTGTAAGTCATGGTAAAATTAGTTTCGTGGCACTAGTTTCATAAAAATATGCGCATGACTTGAAGCTACTCTAGTGTCTAGAAACTAATACGTGAAATTGAATTAATGAAACTTAGATATAGTTTCATGCAACTAATTTTGTCACGTAAATTTGACCTTAAACTAAAGAGAAAGCAAGACGATATTGACAGGTCAGTCTTTGATATAGATAGGGACAGGATGATGGCGAATAAAACTCAATGACGGTGTATTTTGCACCCACCAATCTGCTATGGTCCCACATGATGGGTCATGACCCGTTCTCATTATTCGATTTAATTAGATTCCCCCGTTATCGACGAAATATAAAAAAGTATTATTAAATAATTTAAAATTCACGCAAGTAGGTAAACTGTATTAAGATATACTAAAAAAGTACGAATTAACATACTCGAGTAACCAGTGACCGTGACTCATACTGATAGCATTTTTGTATATTAACCGGATTCTGAATAACTTCAATGTTCTACCAAGTAATTTGATAGAAATATGTATTTTTTTTTAAATTATTAAATAAATGTTTTATATTGAGCGATGGTCTGATATCCTCAGGAGTCGTTAGACCTGATGGTGCCAACAACCGAGTGGTTGATGGTAGTTTTGTTTCTTTTTAAGGTTCATTACCTAAAGGGTAAAAACGGGATCATATTACTGACTCCGCTGTCCGTACGCCTATCCAGGCTGTATACATGAATCGTGATAGTTGAAATTTTCTAAGATTGTATATTTCTATTGCCGCTATAACAAATACTAAAATCACAAGAAAATAAATATTTTTCTCCCATACAACTAACGTCATTTTTTCGTTTTTATAGACAATGATACGGAACCACCCTGCGCGATTCCGACTCGCACTTGACCGGTTTTTTTTATTTGAATTTATTTGCAGGCAAGTGAAAAGTATAAAGCAGATCTTGCAGTTACTAATCGGTTGTGGAAATGGCTAAATATTTTAGTTTCACAGTTTTAAATCCAGTAACATTAAAGTTAATGCAAATGCTTATAAATTAAACACTCACCAATTTAACACGTATGTCTTTAGTGTGAGATATTGACATCACTGTAAAATAAGTATGTAGTAAATTACACTCACAAAAAATATAAATATGTTATTTAATGTACTGTTATAAAACTAACATAACAATTGCGTAATTATTTGTTTAAGCCAAGCCAAAAACTTTTATGTTTAATTTTTATAATTACAAATTGTTTTATTACTATAGTGCTTAAAGAAGAAATGCATTCGCCTATTTACAGACATCGTTATAACTATAAACCCAATATAAAGTTCCTGAGTATTGTTTATTAAAAATAATGCATGACTTTAATATTAAAAACAAATAAAAATACTTATATTTTGAATCAATCAGAATATATAAAATACGTACCGTGAAATAAGACCACGTAAAATAATAAAATGTAACAATACATTTCCGACATGAAATCTCTAAATGCTTTTCAAGAGAATTTCCGAGGTGTAGTCGAACAACACCACACATATGACCGTATACATCACAAGTTCAAAGCTAAATGAGCAGAACCTGTTGTTGTAGATTTGCAAATATTATAGACGCTCCTTTCACGGGTACGTTTTTTATTCTAGTATTGCAAATGTCTTTCTATGTCTTAGGAATTCTAACTATGTATTTATTGGAAAAAAGGAAAAGCATACAGCCATAATAATTAAACATGTTAAACGACTTGTTTATGTAGTTGTCGGTCAAACATACAGATCGGGAAATCAATACATAGTATAAAACAAAATCGCTTTCTCTGTCCCTATATATGATTAAATCTTTAAAACTACGCAACGGATTTTGATGCAGTTTGCATAGATAGAGTGATTCAAAGGAAAGTTTCTATGTATAATACGAGACCACGCGGGCGAAGCCGCTGGCGGAAAGCTAGTAATTTATAAGGAAATAAATATATTTACGAAAATCCAAATTTCTATATACTAACGTTATTTTTATTCTTTTGACATCTCTTTTTGTTTGATTAGTGGTTCATTCTATATGCGTAAATTACTCGTATTAATTTACTTAGTAATCTACTTCTTTATCGTTACGTTAGAGCAATGGTTAACACGTTTGGTCTGTGATGCGGTAATCAAGCAACTTTCACTGAGGTTGGTCATAAGGATGGGTGACCAAAATTTTACCCTATCGAGATTTTTTATCACATGTGTTTTTTGAAATAATCTTTTATTTTTCAGATGATTCGGTTCTTTTATTTACAGTACCCATTAAAAAGCCTAAGTGTACACGGAAATGGACATCATGTATAGGAATCATGCATATCAATGATCTACTATATATCAAATCTTTTGGTGGAAAAATAATCTCCTATGCAGATGACACTGCTCTCTCTTTTGTTTCAAAGACGTGGAATGAGGCATATAGAATGGCTCAAATTGGTTTTGATAAAGTTAACACATGGCTTCTTAATAATAAATTAACCTTAAACATCGAAAAAACCAAATATATAGGTTTTTCCATACGAGATCAATCATACTCTCAAAATTTATTCTCACATAATTGCACATTAACAGCTTCTCGTTATGAGTGTCAATGTAAAACCATAGAACGCGTCGAATCTATTAAATATTTGGGCGTTGTAATCGATAATCACTTCTCTTTCAAACAGCATATTCTGGCTTTGTCAAAAAGAGTTCGGAAATTAATGTATCTATTTAAGACACTAAGACAAGTTGTTCCAGCGGAGTCTCTAAAAAATATCTATTTCGCTCTATGCCAGTCCTTGCTCACATATTGCATAACATCCTGGGGTGGTGTACCGAAGACTACAATGAGATCTTTGGAGGTAGCGCAAAGAGCTGTACTAAATGTTTGTGCGTTTAAGCCTTTCTTTTATCCCACAAAGCTTCTATATGAATACTGTGATGTAATGTCTGTGCGCCAAATTTACTTACTTAATATAACTTTAAAACAACATACCTTGTTGGAATATAACTCTAACTATCTGTCGCGGCGTAGATATTTTGCGGTTTGTAGACAGGTTCATAAACCGAGAACTACTTTTATTCGGAACTTTTTTTCTATTTTTAGGCCCATTTATGTATAATAAAATTAATAAAATACATAACATTTACCCGTTAAATAAAAATGAGGTGAAAAGAATAATATCATGTTGGATAAAAAAATTCAGTTATGATGAAACTGAAAATTTAATAAACGTGATTACCTAATAAATAACCCTCTATATCTCTGACCTGTTAAACTGGCCAGCGGTTATATACTGACTGGTCAAATGGCTTTCTCACCGATTTTATAGTGTTGCCCTAACATAGAGGTACGCTTTTCACTCTCCGAGACTGATTAGTGTAATGGTAACTGTTTCTCGCGGTAAAAATGTTTATGGTGTTTGGAATTTTAAGTTTTATAATTTACTACTCAACTTACTCACCCTCTCACACGCACTCAGTCATTATCATTCTACTCACCGAGAGGAGAACACTATAGGTTAGGTAACTTAATTTCAGTGTTGCTTATCTGCTTAATATATACTAAGTAATTTCAAGAATCTGAGGTTTTGAGGCGCTGTATGCTGAAAGACGGGTATTAACTCAGTTCAGCAGCAGATGCAAATCGATTAGGTACAGTATATGATAAGTTTAGATATAACGAAAATAATAAATATTATTATTATTATATGTATAGGAACCGAAAATAATTTTTCAAAAATACACGCCATGTAATAGCTTTATATATCCATAGGGTTAGAAATAATAAAAATTCACCAATATTAATCTAAACAAAATTTATTTCCAAACTATATCTTCAATCCAATCAAGGTAGCTAGAGACTCGTGTGTAGACGCCGGGCAGATTAGGTAGCGCGCAGCCAACACCAAATGACGTCACTCCGATCACTTGATACATTCGTCTACATGAATTATCGTTTTCGCAACTACAGAACACAAAGAAATTAAGAAATTAATTCTCAATATATGAAATTATTCCAAAATTACGAACAAACCTCATCGTTTTATTAATTAAGTAAAACGGTTCTTACTAAGGATATCTTTGTGGAAGCAACATTTGAATTTGTAAAGGACCACCAGAATCACCCTGCAAAAATGAGAATACTAAAATGATTATCACTTTCAATCTACGGTAACTGAAGTAACTGAAGGTACAATACCCAAAATCGGCATTTGTGTAAGGAAAATTATATTATTGTTTTGATGCTGACTCAAATAACACCGATCAATGCACTGACAATGGGCCGACACAATGGGATATTTTCATACTGTTCTTTCTCTCTTTCTTCTACGATTTAATCATAGGAAGGAACTGTACCCCATTAGCAAGGAAGCTTTAGACTAATAAAGATGATCATACAACGCAGTATCAAAGTTTAATTTTATTAGAAAAAAACCGTAGCTAGAAGATACCTGGCAAGCGTCCACTCCGCCTGCCAAAACTCCAGCACACATCTGGTGGTCTTGTAGACCGCACCAGTGCCTGTTGCATGACGGCTTCAGCAAATCATCGCATAGTTTTTTATCTAATATATCTAGCATGACTACTTGCAGTTCCGGAGACGTAGTGTAATTAACTGTCAAAGAAAATACTAGTTAAGTCATAATCACTCTTTAACACCACAGAAATTGAGAAGATAATTTTTTTTTTTTAGTCATGATTAGTTAACACAGGAGAAACATCTACCAGTTTCCACCACGCCCCATCCAGTCATCGAAGCTTTTTGACCAGCCAGTTCGATTTCAGTGTCGCTGTGAAGACATGCTGGTTGAATAAATTTGGTAAAAACCACTTCCTTCTGTAATTCTATGATAGCTATATCGTTATATTTCTTTGGCGGCTTATAGTCCGGATGAGTGATGATTCTCAATATTTTAGCATCCACTTGTACTATTCCATATTTATATATCTCCCTGTCCTAAAAATAAACCATATATAATTTATATACCTTAAAGCTTCTCACTATATGTACTATAGCCAATATATCTAAATAAGTCAGTAATAGGAATAAATCATCATGTTATACACTAGAATTTATTTGAATATTTCTAGGTCTTCTTACCAAAATATTTTTATCTGCCAACCTCACAATCTTTGGATCGACATCAGCGATAGTGGTGTCCCTGTCTGAAGCCTTAGAGCAGTGCCCTGCCGTTAGCACGAACTTGTTGCTAATGAGGGAACCACCACATTTGAATATCCAAGCACCCAAAGTAGATTTCCAACCAATTGCGCCCTATTATAGTCGAAGAGGAAGAAAACAATATTAGACAACATGAAAGTGCTTCGACGAGCTTAGCGCTTACTGAAATCTTACACGTCCTCTGTTTCTGGACTATGTTATCTTCACGAATATTTGAAAAGCTCACGAGCTATATTTATAAAACAGCTTGCATGCCTCCCTCATATTTATGATTTTACCGTGTTTGACATTCAATATGGATATCCCAAGTCTGTCTAGGCAATTGTGATAGTTTTATTATTATGATTTGGTATTATTTTTACTGATGTATTAAAATATATATTTATTGGGTACTTTATTTCCTTAGTATTATGTTAAGTTTACGATACGTTTCTATTTGAACTCAAATTCAAAGCAAAAAGTTTCTCTAAACAAATTGGTAGCATTAATATTGTTTTATAATTTGAATATAACTTTCAGGTTCAAGGGGAACCCTTTGGGCTGAAGATGAGAGCTATGACTACCTACTTTTATAAAAGCAGCTTGCATTAAATAGTTATGTCGCTAACAAACTTCTTTTAATACGATCAGCTCACACGTAGGTACATAATATGAGTTATTTACATCTCCATCGAACCGCTGAAGAGGTCATTTAATAAAATTAAATAAATAGAAACTCTTACCATATGTGGAAATTCTCCGGGAAGTGTAAGACGGCCTCCGATAGCAGCGTGCAGCGTGCCTAGCAAGGGTCTCCTACCGTTGTCGCTGACTTTATTCCGCAAATATTCACGACCTGACAACTTTTATCATATGTAAAAGGCTAAAAGTATTTCTAAACCTTTGTCATTTCAACCAAATTCCTATTTTCATTAAGAATGAATGAATACTTTTATAGTACACCGTTGTTAAATAAAAAGATAATCTATACAATTTAGTGGTTACAATCGGCGGCCTTATAGCCAAAAGCAATTTCTTCCAGGCAACCGCAGGTTAGACTGGACTTAAGCACTACTTAAGCAGATGGGCAGTAGATGGTGTCTTACATGGTGAGAACAACATGTTTTCATAAATAAACATAACTACATACATACATACATTAATATGCATATATCCTAAAAAAAATACAATAATAAATATAACAGTACCTAAACAAAGTATACGTATAGAATAGAAGTAGGATGAAAACGATAGCATAGTATACTTAAAGTGATAAATAATATTCTTTAACATATTTTTAAAGCAGTAAAGTGATGGAGCGCGCATTATTTCCTCTGGCAATGCATTCCACAAGCGAACAGCCTGAACTGCGAATGACTTATCAAGGAATTTTGTGGAATGCATTCGCATCTGTAATTTAAAGTTCTCTGATATTTGTGTTTTTTTTTTAAATGTAACTGCAATATATATATATATATATATATATATATTAAGCGTTCTATACACCTCTTCAAATTTTAGATGTACTTAATAATTAACCGTGTATAACTCAAAAAAATTATAAGAGAACCCACATTTCTTTCTTCTGATATTTTCGTCTTCTCTGGCTTTGATATCCCAAATATATTCCAAACATTCTGTAAAGAAAAATATCACGTAGGAATTAAAAATATAATTAATTTGAATGCATAATTAATTATACTTCCCATTTTTCACTATTTATAAATTCCAATGAGAACGAAAGTAATTTCGAGAGCAGTATTTCATTGCCAACTATGGCTAGTGAAACTAATTACAACAACACTCGACAACAAGATACTCACTCGCGTGGCTAATCCTGCGGCCCGGTGCGCTAAAATCAGGTACTTTCGGTGGTTGTATTTCGCACAGATTATATTCTGTGTTATTCAGATTATTTGAAATTCTCGTCTAAAGAAAGTAAAATGTATTTAATGAAATTTCAATTATTCTGCATCACAGATATAATTATTCATGTATTTCTTCTTTGTCGTATCATGATTAATAACAATTAGTATATAATATAAATATGTGATCTTAAATATTTTATCATGTATAAAACGTTACTATGATGGAAAATATTAACGATGACCTTAATTTATTAGAATTTAGTTTATCAAAATTTTAGATTTCTTCTTGTTTTTTAACCGTTAATTCTTATCCATATAAATATTTATGTCGGGTAATTCTTTGAGGACAAAAGAAAGCGCTAGCGAATGCTAACAACTTTTGCCAATTAATAAGTCAAGTAAAAAATATGAGGTTTTCAAAATATATATTTTATATTTACACATATTATGCTGCGATGTAATGGAACTTAATGTGATGTACGATGTAATGGGAAATGAAATGGATATTTCTTACCTGTGTTAAGGCTGCATTGGTATCATTATAATATCCCCAAATCCATCTCTCGTCATCTTCCTTAAAATAAGCATTACACTAATCATTTATTTTCTAGTCACAGGTGTCTAGCATCATAAGACTACAATACTCAGCAGAGCAATTCTATAATATAAATATATCAAATAAAATCTTCTTCAAAAGGTAATAAAGGTTTGATTTAATTGAAACTCTAGGACTTGATATCGCAGAGTTCAATGACGAGTCGGAGGCTGTTTTTTAACAGAATAGCATAGCTGAACAGTTACCTTATTGTCTAATTTCAACATCGATCACAAGACCTTTCAAAGATATAGCGATTATATTATAGTAATTATTATAATGATATACTATATTGCACACCTAAGACAATTAACAAATTACACAGCATGAGAGAAAATACATCCTTAATACTACATAGCAATGTCTTAACTAAAAACTTAGTTAAATCCGTCAAAAGATTGCAGTTAGCATTCAACTCTTTCCTTTTCTCGGTAGCTTTCATGACTAGACAATTCTATTTAACGTCAAATTAACGATATCATTCTTTCAATATCTTAAAAAACGTCGTTATCGCAATTGCTAGCACGTGTCAAACTTACTTAATTGCAGGTATTTCTATCACGATCGCTGTACTTTTGAAAGTGATCGCAATAGATTTTGAAATTAGACAATAAATCAACTACTCAGTTAAGCTATTCTGTAAAAAAACTATTTGACCATCTCACTAATCACATAGGGAACGTGCACAACGAAGGTGCTGCCGACTGGTGTATCCAATATAAATTTTATAGTCTTTTTATAGGTAGGTGATATTGACGTTTATAACAAATAAAGAGAATTAATTTTATTAGTGAAAATTGTTATTATAGCTAATGATAATGTAATGTTGTTGCAATTTTGGATGTACAAATACATCACCTAAAAATGAAATTAATTCAAATAGCACAAAATTTGATTACTCTCCAATTTTCTTCATTTATTATTTCTTCAACCTCCAACATATGGCCGGCCTCAAAGAGCGTTTCATTATTAAAATATTTTGCCACCCTGACGATCATTATTGATAGACCGGAACCCATATTTTATAACTTTATCATATTCAAAAATAATATAATTGAAGAAATAATTTTGTTAATTAGTTGAAAGTTCAATTACAAGTCCGATAACTTTCCTTTATTGTCCGCCTAATGTCTTTTCGTTTAGTGCTGTATCTATAGTTTTTGCAAGTTTCCTATATGACTAATTAACGAGACTACTAATGATAAATCACACAGGAAAATTCATTACATTATATATAATAGGGAACAGGAAAATAAATATATTCTAATGAGCTTCAATTCTGTATCATTTAGAAAATTGAATACTCCCATGGTACAATAAACCTTATACTATAAGGGCTTTTATTTTATGGATAGTTAAAAAAAGATCATATAACTTGGATTGGTGGATGTCAAATGTAGCCAGGAACAACGGGTTAACGTTTCTTCTGAAGCACGGAGGAGCTCTTGATAATAAATTATTTGTCACCAATCCTATAACCAGCCTTTGCGAAAGTTGCACAAACTCTGCAATGAGCTCAGTCCTTCTAAACCACAAATCCAGCAAATCTTGCAACAAAACTTTTGCAGATACTGATTGACTGTGGAAGTTGCTAGTTATTGCAAGATTACACAGTTATAATCCAGTTACATATATAATCCAGTTACAACTAGATCATATATTAAACACTCACCTGTTTAACACGTATGTCTTTAGTGTGAGATATTAACAACACTGCAAAATAACGAAACTTTACATTAGGATAAGTAGTAAATAAATAATACTATAGTGCCTACTCTTATAAATGTGATGTTACAATTGCGCGTAGGTATTTATAAATAAAAATTAACTAATTATTAATACTTAATCATGATTAAAGAAAACTTATTTCTGCTGTTAGTATATAATTAAGAAATGGGTTCGGTACAAATTGACGCCGTTATAAATATAAGTCTAATAGGATATTCAATTTTGGAATCTTGAAGCAGTTTATTTATTGAATATTATTAAGGTTTATTTGAATTGAATTCGAATAAACCTTAATAATAAATAAACCTAAGACTATTATCTAATTGTATGAGATCTTTAAAAACCGATGATGATCTTAGAAATTGTAATAAAAATATATTTACCTAGAATTGAAACCACACAGAATAATAAAAAGTAATACATTTTTGAGTAGAACCACAACAGTTCATTAAAAATTGTCTAGGGGTAATTAAATAGAATTCATATTTACAATATTATATGAACTGAAAAAAAATATGAAGCTAGTACACGACCGTTCACATCACGAGTAATTAGTTAAATGTATTGATCCTTTAAACTTGTTTTTATAGATCTGTGGGTTAATTGTCTTATTTTAAATTCTATCGCAGTCCCTTTCAAAGCGATTTATATAATTCTATATATATATAACTTTTTCTATATATTCTATATATAACTTATGATGATGATGTGAATAACCAAGAAACATAGTAAAAACAAAACCGGTCGAAAGATTGCAGATATATATTAGAGTCTAACGCTTGTGTCAGACAATTACCGATATTTAATAAATTAACGGATATCGTTCATTCGATATCTTTCAAAAAAAATGTTGCAGTCACTATCGCTATTTTATGTCAAACAATTGTAAAATGAACTTTGTGAACATCTTCCAAATGTCAAAAAACGGCCTAGAAACGTACTTTTCCGGATATTTTTTAATCCAATGTTTAGAAATGAACTCAATGTTTTTTAAATAAGTTGCAGAATAATAAAAAAACATAAACGAGATATTGCATTGTAACATCCTAAAAATAAACTTGTTTATAGATTTCATGGTCGAATTCGCAGACTGACAAATCATTTATTAAGGAAAATAATATAAATATTACAGACAACACCACATACATTGCTCGGATACCAAATTAAGTAGTTAGTTGCTAAAGCACTTGATTAAGGAAATCTGAAACAATTAAGATACCACAACACCCAGACTCGAGACAATGGAGGCAGCGCTATAACTGTGTAAAGATTCAATCAAATAAAACCTACTTGAAAAGAAATTAAAGGGTTTCATTGAAGCTCTATGCTTTAATAGCACGTCAGCAAATAATATGATATTGCGCTCATACACACACACACGCACACACACACACACACACACACACACACACACACACACACACACACACACACACACACACACACACACACACACACACACTCGACGATTTAACGGGATACCGACAGATTTTTAAATTAGAGAATTAGGCCCATGAGCTCTATCTGTAGTAAAAGATTCCATACACAACCCTGCACCGGCCTCAAACCGACGTCAAGCAGATATTGGGGTGTGTTAGATGAATTAATAACTATATCCCATCAAGTTTGTATTACGTCGCTTCAAACCCGCTGCAGACTTGACGGTAAGCTTCAACGAATCCTTATCCCGAGATCCCTAAGAAAACCGTAATAAGAAAACAGTTGAGTCAAGATGGCTTCGTTTCACTCGATCAGCTCAGATCAGTTGAGTTTGATGTTTAAAGCCCATTTGTTCTATTATTTTCTATTTAATCTAACTAACTAAAGTTCATACATCAAATTGTTAATAATAAAATCAGCAACAGCAGTTTTTAAGTCAATGGATGCCTTTAAAGTAATAACAAAGTCTTTATTATATTTGATCAATTTTAATTCACAATGGGATAGTTAAGAATAATAACAAAGTCCTTCATATATCACATGAATATTTATTTCCAAACTATATCTTCAATCCAATCAAGTAGCTTGAGACTCTTGTGTAAACCCCGGGCAGATTTGGCAGCGCGCAACCGATACCGAATGAAGTCACTCCGACTACTTGATACATTCGCCTGCATGTTTTGTTTACTTGACAACTATAGAAACCAAAAAAGTTAAAGTAAATTAAGAGCAGAAGAAAGACGAAAACTCATCAATTGTTCATTAGGTAAAAAAAAATCTTACTTGTCTTTTTGTGGAAGGGACATTTGTATTTGCAAAGGACCACCGGAATCACCCTGAAAATATGAAAAAATACCATAAGTTCCATATAGCGGCATGGTAATTCTTCGTTTGAACAGAGTCAATCTCGCAATTCTGACGATGAACTAACGGACAATAAAAAGTTATAGTGAATCTAGTTTCCAAAACTATAGTGTAAAATAGAATACATTAAATGTCCTTCTTATTCACATTCATCCAAGGTCAGGTGTGGATATTGGTTGATCGCCCGATCGCGTGATACTTGAATGATTCCGATTGAAGAACATTTGACGCGCTTCGAAATTAACCTTCTGCACATATATGTACATCAGTGAGCTACATTAGCATTGGCGTAGCGTGCCTTGACGGGGCCCCGTATAAAAATTTGTTTGGGGGCCCTTATGGAGGGTACAGATTTCTCACAAACGGAAAATAAATGTGTGATTAAATAATAATTATTATTATAGACTGTGCGAATTTTAATCGTATGTACATCGATTATTGTGAGATTCTCCCGTTGAAGTAAATGACTTAAACGAAGAAAGAAATCCCGGAGTCCGCGAAAACCATGTATGGTGTTGCCAATTATGAAATGCATGCTTTACTTGTTTTTTTTTTTAGTTTTGTCATTTCTGAAATAAAATTAAATTTGGGAAGTTATTATTAATTTTTGCTTACGCACGTTGGGGGCCCCGTAGAATTGATACGGCAGATACGGTGGTAGCTACGCCTCTGTACAGTGCGAATTTATGGCTGTTAAGAAGTCTTAAATTCGCACTGATTCTTCGCAGTAGTTTATAGGGCCCGTTTTCCTTAGCTATAGGTACTATTCTACTAAAAAAGGTCCGGTCCTAAAAGTACCTAAGAGTCATTTTTTAAATAAATAGATCTATCAAAGTTTAAATTTTAACTCAAAAATACCTGGCAAGCGTCCACTCCTCCTGTTAAAACTCCAGCACATATCTGGTGATCTTGTAGACCGCACCAGTGCCTGTTGCATGACGGCTTTAACAAGTCGTCGCATAGCTTTGTATCCAATATATCTAGCATCACTACTTGCAGTTCCAGCGACGTGGTGCGATTAACTGATAAGTAATAATAAAATGATAACTCTTCATCATCATCATCATCATTAGCCATCTTACGTCCCTTCTGCAGGAGCTCAGGCCATCCTTATGGGCTATAATCTTCCACGTCAGCCTATGCGCATTGAAGTATATTAACTGTAAATGCAGCTGGGACCAACAGCTTAACATACTTACAAAGCACAGAGCAGCTCGAGATATTTGGTCACCCACCCCGTGACCGACCTTAGCGAAAGTTGCCAAACAACAACGATCGCGGGCCTTAACGCTTATCCACTACGGCAACGAACTTTTCTACAATCATATTGGAATTGAGTAGACTTACGGGTATTTCTTTAGATTACAAATTTGAGTTGAGGAGCTCAATGATCGCTGTGATCAGCTCCTTCGATCTGCGATACGGAGATTAAAAAACTCTCGCAAAGACCGGTAACAGAAGTATGAATGACCCAAAATTTGTTATCTCGAGCTCCTCCGTGCTTCGTAAGAAACGTCAAGACATGGGTTCCGGCTGCATTTGCTGTCGTTAACACTGATTGATATAGTACAAGATACAAAACAATAATATTTCTTATCTCGAGAACTTTCTGTCAAATATTGATACTATATGAAACTTATACCCAGTTGCACAAACACCCTGATGACTTAAAAGCTCTGATTAATGTTCTGATGAGTATCAGTATATCGCTTAGTGACTTAAAAGATCCGATTAATGTTCTAATGAGTATCCGTATATCGCTTCACACTAATGAAAATTTGAATAGACGTTTGTGTCAAACACATAATCTTTTGACTTTCCAGACTTACACGGAATCTAAACAGATTTTATTTTGTGACACAAAATAGCGTGAAGAGATACAACAGCACTGATATATTAAATTTTGGTTAAAATAAAAGCATCTACCAGTTTCCACCACTCCCCATCCAGTCAACGAGGCTTTTTGGCCAACCAGTTCGAGTTCATGGCCGCTGTAAAGGCATGCAGGTTGAATAAATTTGGTGAAATATACTGGATACTGTAACTCTATGATGGCTATATCGTTATATTTCTTCGGTGGATTGCAATCAGGATGATTGATAATTCTCGATATTGGCATATCCACATATAATCCCCCCTCCTAAAAGTGATTAGTTATTTTTTATTAAATTTATAAATATAATGGGTATATACATACATATATTATAACTTTAGATATGCTATATTGATATTTAACGTAATAAAACAAATTAATGTCTTTCTTTTCATATTTTCCATTTGTTATACAACAATCGCATAACAATAATTCCTTACCACTATATTTTTGTCTGCCAACCTCACAATCTTAGGATCAACGTCAGCAATAGAAGTGTCCCTCTTTGAAGCCTTGGAACAGTGCCCTGCTGTCAACACGAACTTGTCACTGATGAGGAAACCCCCGCATTTGAATAGCCATGTACCCAAAACTGATTTCCAACCAATGGCTCCCTAATACAGTCGAATAAAAAAGAAACAAAATTAGATAAAAGTAAAAAAGAGTCGTCAAAACACGGCTAATATAACTTCTTTTCTGTTAACTTAATTAAATTTAATAAAATAACATTTTTGATATTCAATGTGTAGAACGTACTACTGAGGTACTGCATTTAATCTAGACTTCTATTTCATAGTCACTACACTCTTGGCAAAGCGATCGTACTCGTTTGTTGAGGGTTCGCAACATGCTTCTGTCACCACTCATCTCAAGCGGCTGCTTTTCTCGTACACTCGTATAGATAACCATTAAAAACGGCCTTCACTTGGTCTGTTCTGCGCGTGGTGTCGTGCCTTCCACCTTTTCTTGCACCACAAGGCGATCCATAGATGCCGTCATTTTTTGGATACCAGACATATTTATTAGGCATAATCAGCCCTTTTACGTGCACGTGGCTTGAGTCCCCACTGTAGGGACTCAGGCCTTCCTTATGGATGGTTGAGGAGGATAGACCATGACCCTCCACGCTGGCTCAAAGCGGATTGAATGCAGCCGGGACCAACGGCTTAACGTACCTTCCAAAGCACGTGAAATGATTTACAATAAAGATAATAAATAGCTGACGAGATGTAGAAAATTATTGTTATTTAGTATAATTAAGGGAAACTTTTACCATATGTGGGAATTCTCCAGGAAGTGTATCACGTCCTCCAATAGCAGGGCCAATTGTAGGACGTATACCTTTGTCGTCTTTTTCCCGATAATACTTAACACCTGAAAATTGCGTTATTTAAATAATTAATGTTTACGAACATTAATTATTTCAAAAGTGTTTTGAAATATTTTTTTTAGTCTTAAATGCACACGGCTGCACATCAGGTTACCACCATATGTCAAAATCCAGTTGATTTTTTAAATCTACCCTCAGAGCATTAAGGTTTTAAATCATGTGGAGAAATTTGACAAATTCATATAACCTAATGTACTGTTGACTAAACCTATGTACTTATACTTATATATGTATTTAAATACAATAAGAAACTTGTGACAATTATAAGATTTAGATTTTTTTAAATAAGTGGTAAAAAGATTTACATTCTTTAATAAAGTCAAACTGTTAAACATTCATATTTAAGAAAATAGGCTAAGGAGTAAAATGTACATAAGTAATACAACGACAGTGCTGTGTTCGACGCTGTATTTTTAACGAATCAACCAATCAAGACATCATAAATAACAACTCTTGTTCCATAAACGTAAACGTCAGGTACGACATTCTTTAAATTATGCCTTAAATAAAATAGAAATATATAATTTATTTATAAAGCAAGTAACCAAACCTACATTCTTCATCACTTATATATCTGTCTTCTCTCGCTTTGATGTCCCAAATATATTCCAAACATTCTGAAAAAGAAATCAACTTCTTAGTCACAATTATCTTCATGCCTGTTTTAATTGAACGATGAAAAATTTAAGGTTTTCTGAGTTTACGATATAGTTATCATCATTCATCATGATCATAATTTCAATCCATAGAATCCACACCTAGGTTCTAAAAGAGGCTAGGTGTGGAGCAATTCCTACTAGATTCCAGGCGGATGGAGAGTCCCGCACACCACATACTAACTGTCAAGCGGTAGGGACAGTCCTACATTAAAAGAAAAGGGTATATCAATGAGCAACGTCCGTTGTTCCTTACTGTACTATGTATGACAAGTTACTTACTCACGTGACTGATCCTGCGGCCGGGTGCGCTAAAATCAGGCCTTTCCGGTGCTTGGAAATCGCACGGATTATATTCTGTCTTATTCAGGTTGTCAGAAATTCTTGCCTAAAAAGTGTAATATCTTAAATTGTTATTATCGTATAAATATTTATAATGACTCACACCCGATTTCTGAATTGAGAATTTAAGGTTGAGAAAGTCTCAAACTGTACTTAAACGAGTTTTCGTTACTGATTTTATTACTTATAATGATCATTAGGACTTTTGACTTGTGAAATGTAAAAAACTTAAGTTACTGAGAATAAGCAATTGAGTTTTTTACTTTTCTCTATTCAGAAACCGACCGTTATATGTTGCCAAATACTCCGGAACACGTCAATTTCTTTCTTATGATAACAAGTGTGAATTGGAAAATAAAGCCAACATTAAGGTCAAACTACATAAAAAAAATTAAACAAACGTAGTAATCAGGGCATCAGCGCGCAGTGTGTTACTAAAATCAGGAGCTTGCTAAACTCATTCAAGTAAAATGTAAGCTTTAATAAAGTGAAAGCCTCTTGCAAGCAAAACTCTAAGCCCAATATATATTCTAATACTAAGTATCCTCCTGACGGAACCGTTGTGAATATTGTATAAAAATAAAAACTATAGTCTATATAGCCTGTAGATTTGATTTTCTGTGTTAATTATAAATATTTATATTTATAGTAATTAAAAGTCGTTGTAATAATGGTATTAAAAAGAAAAATCTTTACCTGTGTTGAGTCTGCATTGTTATCAGTGTAATATCCCCAAATCCATCTTTCATCTGCTTCCTAAAACATATATTTAAATTAATTGTAACGTATTAAGTATAAATAGTTATTTTAGATGCTAATAGTTATAACTATTAGTGATTTATCAAGTAGCGGCCTTCGTTTTATCAAAAACAAACAAAACAATGACCCCCCCCCCTAAAAGTCGTCGCCGAGTCGCCCATCCAGCCTCTCCCAATCACCTCTACTCTTAAAAATGCAGTAATGTTTCATTGAAAAGTAATAAATAGAAAAGCAAATGAATGGAATCGCTCGTGTATAGTAAGTATTACATTGTAAAAACAAATTACTTGCTAATTATAAATAATAACTTTAATAATAAAATAAATACTCACCCGTTTAACACGTAAATCTTTAGTGTAAGATATTGATAACACTGAAAAATAACACGATATTAGATAAGAATAATTAAGTAAATGCAGCAAGACAACAGCCACACTTAGGCATAGTCAGATAACCATTTTGCATCACAACACTATTTGATAGCATTTACTGTTTACAAAACATTAACGACATTTTCATTTTTATTTTCCAAAAAAAGAGTACTTTCAATAATACAAAACGTACCTTGTAATAAAACTACATAAAATAATAAAAAATAATGCATTTTTGACTAGAAATCAGAACTAAATAAAATAGAAATAAATAACTAAAATAATATTTAATTATTAATAAAACACGTCTATACACATGATAAGTTAACAGCTTAATGAGATAGTCCATCGAAATTGTTTTTATATATTTTCAAACATGTAAACTACCGTTCCCGGCTATTTTTTGTTAATCCAGTTTTAGCAAATGTCCTAATATCTTAGAAATCCTGCGAACACAAATTATTAGGAATAAAAACTTAATTTATTGAAGAATAATAAATTCATTAATTACATAATTAATTGCACTAATATAACCATAGTACGCTGTCCGTCAATATAACAATGAACTTCTTTTAGAGTTCATGGTCAAATACGGGTGCTGATAATAGTATAAGAAAATGTAGATTTTGAGACGCTATGTAGCTACTACGTTAATGTTTCGTATATTATATACTTTATAGTTAGGTTCTAATTATATATAAAAATTATGATAAAAGGTCATAAATAAGGATTTATTATGTCCACCAAATAAAAAATTACCACCTAATGTTTTCCTCCATATTTGTAATCCAATTATTTATTTACACCACCTTTGTCAGGTCACTAATTTACATAAGTTTACCACCTCCTCGGATCCAATAGTTTGGGAGAAAATTGACTGTGACGGACGAATGGACAGACAGACTACCGAGTATCCTTTGGGTTTTTCGTTCTCAGTGTGGAACCGGTGCAGTGGGCATAGCACCGTATTCACAAGGATAGATTAACCTTATTTTTAGCCCTCGTTGTGGGGAGAAGGATCCAGGATCCAGCAAATAGCCCGCCGACTCCAAAATAGGACAGATTAACAACTCCCTTAAGGTCCCGCATTGCCTTGGGCTGTGGTAGACGGACATACAAACACACAACCGAATGATACTTAAGGTTTTTGTCATTCCTTTTGAGGTACAACCCTAAAAAATATTTGAAAGTTCTGTGCAATAATTTTTTTACAACACGATTGCTTGTTTACTTTAAAAATGACGTGAAGGAGTGCATGCAATATAAAGAATATAACATACGAACAGCTGAAGAATGCACGGCACTTGTTGCATCATATCACCCTACTCGAATGTGCAACTTCGCTTGTAATAGTCCGCAAAACCCACCGAGTATAATGATACTGTATTAGATTTTCCTCATGAGTTTCCTTCTGTTCCATTTTAATAACAAATTCCAGAATTCGCTTCGTAGTAACAGCTTCTTCCACTTCTCCAGCTCTGAGGTTCGATTCCCGGTCGGATCAATGTATAAAATAAACTTTCCTATATGGTGTAAGGTCTAGATTTAACGCCATTAGCTACAAATATTAAAATGAAAAATACTTAAGTCGTCCAAAGGGAGAAAACTTACTACTTAGCTTAACTTACTTAATTTGGAATCTGAACAATATATGTGATATTGTGTAATAATATAAATATATATGAATATTGTACAATTCTATTCAAATAATTCTGGTCAAATTAATATCCTCCCAAAATTTTTGAAGCCGCTTAAAAAATCAAATCACACTAGCTAGAAGGAATCGATTTCTAAAAGAATAATTTCATTATTATTGTGGATTTCCTCATCAATGCTGGGCGCTGAAATCAGGAATGCTTCTTCAACTGGCAATGACGATTTCTCAAATTTGAACATTCCATTGTTTCACACAATAGGGAATCGTTCAAACCGACACGGAGTCGGCGTAATGCTATATCTCAGTAATCCCGGACATGGCCCACATACAATTGCAATAAGCGATGCGTCCTGAAGCGAACGGGCGCGGATCAGGCGGCTTGTGAGCTACTATCCGTCTCCTAGACAAATTGCTCCCTCAAATGGAAGATTACTGTAACGTTGTCATTCGCTCACACAGTAGCGAAACAATTTACAACAAATCTATCTAAACAAACAAATAAAAAAAATATTAAGCTAGACTAAATGTAATTCAGAATGAGTAACGTTCAATTTGGATTGCACATTGCATAATTATCCCATTTCATAAATTAAAGATAGTAACTGAAACATATTTTAAGCTGATAGTTACCTAAGCGTTTGCACGGAACAGTCTAAAAGCGCTGAAAATGGGAAAATTTTCGGAATAACTCAATTTTCATTCAAACGTGATATAAGTAAGATTATGCTTAAGAAAATAACTCTTTTCACTCAAAATTTGAGGATTTTTATCCAGAGGATGAGGAAATTACTCCCTTATTTTATCATAATGAAAGATGAACAAATCCAGTTTTAAACAAAAAACCTTTTACTAGCGGAAAAGTGCACAAAAATGCAATTAAATGGGGCCTATGTATTGGACATATTAAAGAGACTCAAATATTGATACATTATATTCAATATCGCTGATGATATATTGGAAATATATTAATCTATCGGTTTTCATGGTATCAGCAGGATTCAAAGGGAGATCCCCCTAAGTTAATCTACCGCGCGCGGGTGAATCCCAAAATCCTATATTACGAGAATTACAAGAAAAATAATATCGCCTGCATTTCGGTGTAATACCGTGACTGTCTAAGCCGGTGTTCTCAGACATCCTCTTCCAACTGAGAAGGCTAGTTTTATTGTTTGTTGTTATTTTTACTTGACTCTCTTAAATCGTTTCACTTTTACTATGGTGTTAAATGTTTATGGGTACACCTATCATAGCTTGCATATCACTCCAAACGTAAATAAAGCTAATTAAAATGTTTCTGAGTGCAAGAGTCAGTAGAGCTGTAATTATGTTTCTTTCTCCAAGTACACACATCAGCATGTCAGGTTGTCACAATATGTTTTTCCATAATTAGTGAAATTTAAAAGTTTCGTTTATCTGAACCCAATAGCGCAGTGGTTAGCGCGCTCGACCTGCGATACAGTTATTAATCAACTTTCGCAAGGGTCGGTCATAGGATGGGTGACCAAAATATATTATCTCAAGCTCAAACGTCCTTTGGAAAGCCCGGCTGTAATTAGAGTCAGTTATACACACCAACATGCACTGGGCCCGTGTGATGGGTCATGGATAATTTTCCCTATTCGATTTGATATGGAAGGCTTAAGCTCCAGCAGTGGAGACATTAATAGGCTGATGATGAATAACTGAACATCTGTTGTCATAAAAAAATTAAGGTTTTTTTACAGAATATATTAAGTGTTTGGATATATTAAGTCTTGAAAGTTGTAATCGACAAACTAAAGTGGCACAGGTTAGTGACTGATTTAAGGTATGTCGCCATAGGTACTTACACTTAATCAAACATAAGTACTACATATTGGAATAAATATTGATAAACGTGACACTCTTAAAACATTTTTAGGGTTCCGTACCCAAAGCGTAAAACCTTATTACGAAGACTTCACTATCTGTCTGTCTGTCACCAGGCTGTATCTCATGAATTAAGACAGTTGAAATTTTCACAGGTGACGTATTTCAGATGACGAGTCCGGTTCGCACTTGCAGCAGTAGAAATAATTATTGTAAGATATAACTCTTACAGTTTCCTCCATTCCGTTCTTTAAAGTACGACAACCTTTAAGTTGTTTTTTCTGACTCGTTCGATAAAACTGATGATGATACCAATCATATTCGAAAACAGTAATCCGTCAAGGGTGCCTTGTTTCCATTAATCACCTTCAAGTTAGCTCGCCCTTTAATATTTCACCTTTGTCTGACGCACTGACTCTGACTGATCACCAAACAAAATCGCAATATACAAAAAAAAAGAAAACTCCTGCGTGAATAAAACAAAAAGTTTTCAACGAAAAAGTTCGAGGCTTTTTTGTTTTTTTTTTAATTAAAAAAGGGCAAACAATGTTTATTCTCTTCCTATGTAAATAGTGATTAATCATAGACTTGTTTAATCCCCGCAAATTACTAATGAGCGTTTTGATGACGTAATTGCATTCAAAAATCAGTACCGTTAACAAATAAACACTGGTTAGTACACTTATTGAGTTGGTTTGTGTTGAGATCACACACAATTTTTGTTATGTTTTTGTCGATATCGAATAAATATATGTCATATCTCATTATTACAGTTTGGGTTTGGTTACAAAGTAAATGTATTTTTTTATTTTCCATATATTCACATATAAATTGATTCTTTTCCAAAAAATCATGTATCAAATAAACAAACTGAAATTTATTAAATTATTATAATAATATTTTGAGGTAAATGTATTTTTTTCATATTTTTTTTTTTATATTTTTCTATTATTTTCCAAAAATTCATGCACTAAATTAACAAACTACAGTTTATTAAATTATTATAACAATATTTTGGGGATTACTCGATATTTAAAATTATAAAGAAATAATAATCTCTTGCCTTTTGTGCTATGTATACTTTCTATTTATTTACATATGGCGTCCCGCGGGTGTTATTTAGTCCCAGCCAATGTTCGAGCGCCTTAGCAATTTACGGGCATACATTTTCACTAAACTTAGAAGTCGCTGAAGTCTGACACCTAAATATTTGGGCATTGTCACAGGTGAATAACCTTTACACCAATGACAAGGAGCCACCTAACGACATTAGGAAACGCATAAAGTTAGGACATGTATTGTGCGGCGCCAAGCGCTGGGCATTTAGTAAATTTCAGTAAGGGGTTTATCCATTAAGATTAAGATATAAAAGACGAGATTTTTTAAATTTTCCGTCTTTTTTTAAATGGACGATGATGACTTGTGTGCTCGTGTAAAAACAAGACTACGTATATTTTTTCTTCTTATATCACTTAAAAATATATATTTAGGTTAGTGTCTCTTTACGTGTAAAGGTCACTAACGTGATATTGGCGGAATTGTGTAAATGCAAATATGCCATATATAAAAAAAGAGCAATTGAAGTATGCAAAATCATAGACAAACGTTGCATAACTAGACTAGTGGCAATACCTTACATTACAGGTATGGTGAAACGACAAATCTTTTAAGCTATTCTAAATATTAAGTGATTTCTAGTTCAGCTTTGTCTTGTTCTAGGTTAGTGAAAACGAGCATTATAGCTCTTAAATAATAAAATTAAGATTAACGTGTTAAATTGTGATTTCAAATTAAACCCCAAAAACCCACACTAAAATCTTATTTTTATCGGGGTTTGTTTTAACTTTTTCCCGTACTTAAATTTAATCTAATTAAATTTAATTATTCTCCTGTAATCTAAATCATAATAGTTACATATGGTACTTATTTAGATAATTTAAAACGCAGTTTGACAGGATTAAAGTTGGATGTCACTATGCAACTGAACTGTATGAAATCAAACAGGGAGAAATAAATAATTTGCTGAGTTTCTTGCCGGTTCTTCTCAGTGCAAGGCCTCCCGCCGTTTACAACTGCCTAAACTGAATAAAAAATATTGAATTTTAATTGAAAATATACTCAAGTTTGTACAATAGAAAAGCCTCCATAGTATTACTAACGGTCGTAAATAAAGGGAAACGCAACATATCGGATCTTCATAATTTTTTTTTCGAGGTGAAAAGGTACCTAGCCTGTGTAACCATGTGTAACTATCTAGGCTCCAGAAAAATCATCATCCTATGGTCATACAAAAACTTATACTATTACAACGCTCGATGGCGACGATGCGAAATAAAAACAGCACACGCATATGAATTTATTTTATTATTTCAACCTTTATTTTACTATCGTTTTGGATGTGTAGATATATTTTGCAGCAAGAAGAATCACAATATATGAGTTACAATTTAGATGAGAGGAAGAAGTGCACAATACTATTATCCTTTTATAATAATTTTGTTTACTAAATAAAACTAAAACAATCAATATAGTCTTTGATAATAATGGTCAAATTCTGACAAATATGTAGGCAATATGAAGACGTTTCAATTAAATATAAGAAGGAGAAAAGAAACACGACATTTGTAACTTTCTATACTACCAGCGTTAAGTAAAGTATTTGAGAAAATTATTTACAATCAACTGCTTGCACACTTTTCATTAAATAAATTACTTCACCAAAATCAGTTTGGCTTTAGCAGAGGTAAATGTACCACAGACGCTGGAATTGCACTTCTGAGGCATATCTATGATGCTTGGGAGAATAAA